TGGAGTGTTTCCATAGCAGAGGAAAGTGGGTGGTGCGTAGGATACAGTTGTAGATATATGTAAGGAATATGACTGCTTTGGATGGAAGTTGTCGAAGGATTTGAGGGGTAAGGAGATCATGTCCAGGAGCTTTACGGGGGATTAATTTTTTTAATTGAAATTTCACTTCGGAAGGATGAATAGCTTTTGGGGGCAAGGAAAGTGGGATTGGTGATGTAAGGAATTCTTCTACTGTTACGGTGTGGGCAGGATGGGATTCCGGATGTGAAATAAATGTATTGGATAGGTGAATGGCGAACTCCTCAGCCTTATCTTCGTCAGATGCTGCCCAGGAGCCATCATCTCGTCGGAGGGGATGGGAAATGCGGTGAGGATTTAAGATTTTGGTAGTGGTTTTCCAAAGGGAATTGTCGCGAGAAGAAAGGGAGGATAGGTAGGAGTTGAAGGAATGTGATCTGAAGGTGGCTAATTCCAGTTTTAATTTTTTGCAGTAATAATTATAGGAGCAGCGGTCGGTAGGATGTCGGGTACGTTGCCACAATAATCTGGCACGGCGTTTGGTTTGGATTAGGTCAAGGAGGTGTTGGGGTAGAATGGTCTTTTTAGGAATTCTGGAGGAGTCTTTTGGGAAGGAAGCAGTCCAGGCGGCTTGTTGGATTGTGGTAGTAAAGGAATTTACGGCACTATCAAGGTCATCGGGAGTTTTGAGGGATATGTTAAGATCAATTTTATCGGAGATGATTTGGCGGAAAAGGTCCCAGTTAACTGGGCCCCTAATAAATGACGGTGGAGAAGGTTTGGGAACGGGTTCAAGTGAAACATTAAGGATTAGAGGACTATGGTCAGAGGAAAGTTCATTTAGACGTGTAATGGAACAATTGAGGGGACTTAAGCCGCTGTGGATAAAGAAATCAAGAAGATCAGGATTACGGTTGGGATCTGTAGGCCAGTAGGTAGGAGAGTTGGGGGAAAGGAGATGAAAATGTTGGGAATTGAGTGCAGACAGCAGGGTTCGGCCACGAGTATTCGTGGTTCTGGAACCCCATTGTTGATGTTTGGCATTTAGGTCTGCACCCAAGATGAAGTGATGTCCTAAGGAGTCGAGGAGAGAACGGAATTGGGCATTGGATATGGATCGGTTAGGAGGGCAATACGCTGATGCAAGGGTAACCGGAAAGGAAAAGGTTTTTATCACGATAGCGGTGGACTGTAGGAAATCATGTGTAGGTAACGGGAGTAGGTGATGGGAGAGGGATTGGTGTACAATGACAGCAGTACCGGCATGTGCTTTTCCGTCAGGGTGGTCAGTACGATATGTCAGGTATTGTGGTATTTTGAAGTGCTGTTTAGTGGTTAGTCGAGTTTCAGTAATTAGTGCCACGTCAATATTTTTGTCAAGTAATAATGTAGTTAGTTCGTTTGTGTGATTTCTAACACCATTCGCATTCCAAAGGAGAATGGATAAAGGTTTATTGGAAGTCATTTAAGGATTTTTCGCGGGAGGGATAAAATGTGATACAAGATTGGTGAGAAGAGATATCAAAGGAGTAACAAGGGATCTGAATTCGGAGAGGAAAGATGTAAGTAAACTGGTGAGATCTGTGGTATTTGAGGGAGGAGGAATGCGGGGAATTTGGTGTTGATAAAACTGTTGATTAGGTGAAGTTTGATTAGGATGTTGAGGGTGGGGTTGAGAATTTTGAGGTATGTGTTGTTGTTGCGGCAGGGTCTCACAATAAGTAACATCATTCTTACCTCCTAATAAGTGTGCAAAAGACACCGTTGGGTCAATTTTTTTTGAAGGTCCTCTTCTTGATGCGTTAGGTTCTCTTCTTGATGCCTCTGCTTCTTCTTGGGTCCGGGATTTTTGATATCTTGATTTAATATTCTTGTAGATCTGACAGCCTTTGTAGTTCGCTGGATGTCCTTCAAGGCACAATGCACAAACTGCAGGATCCCGTTTCGGTTTTGTGCACTCCCCGGATTTGTGCTGCTCTCCACATTTCACACAGCGCGGCAGATGATGGCAGTAAGTCCTGGTATGGCCATATGCCTGGCAATTGTGACACTGTACGATTTCCCTCTTAGGATATGGCTTCTCTACTATAACACTTGTGTAGTATATTCTTCTTATTTCGTATATTTTTTCGATCCCTTGATTTGGCTCCAAATCTACGAAAAATAAGGGTAGAGGAACTTTTACTCCTGGCTGTTCTTTACTCTCCTTCTGTACATTTGTAATCTGGCGCACTATGAAACCTGAAGTTTTCAATTCTTCTTCTATTGCTTCGGTTGGTGTTGAGGGGTGTAGATTTCTTATGACTACCCTCAAAGCTCGATCTTGCCGTAATTGGTACGTATGAAAATCCGCGTTGGTTTCCGTTAGATACTTCACAATTTTTCTGTAGGTTTCAGCTGTATCTGGTGATATCTTCGTGTCCTTTGTTCTGCTTAGACATGAATAGCTTCCAGAGCCTGTTATTTTGTTCAGTTGTGAGCATAGTAACTGAAAATTGCTTATGTTTTTAACGAATATGGGTGGAGGTCGGGGATCTCTTGGTATTGAAGCGGATTCCATCACTTCTTTATCATTCTGAAGCACCTGATAGGGGTTAGGGGTGAAAAACGGAGATTGTTCGGTTATCTCTTGTGAAGATGTACCTGGTTGATGCTGAAGTTCTTCAATTGTTGGTTTTGATGATGTTCCTGGCTGGGTTTCATTTTCTCTGGAGCTAATAGGCGTTACTGCAGGTGTTTGACGACATTGACGAGGCTTTTGTTTGACAGGCGAAGAACAAGGTGTTGAGCCTAACGGCCGAATTCTCTTGATAGAAGCTCTACTAGACATGGCCTGATTGTGAAATCGCATATAAGGGAAAAAAAAATGAAAAAAAAAAAAAAATAAAAAAAAAATAAAAATAACCCTATAATTTATAACAAAAAATAAATATCAATTGTTATTATGTATTCTTGACTTGTTTTGAATAAATAATCTCAAAGATTTCACTGCAAAATAAGTAAATTCTGAGAGACGATGTAGAAACACGTCCTTTCGCATCAGCTGATCCACTGCCTTCCTATTTTAAATTAAAAACTATTATCATAAACTAGTTTACACAGTGTATTATAGGCAAGTAAACAACTTTTAAACATATCTTTTTCTTTGAGTGCCGCCAAATTTTGAAATCGTTAAAATGTGCTGCAACAAAAAAAAAGGTTGACAATCACTGGACCAGCCTACATGAATAATGAATATAGGAAAAGTAATTAAAAAAATGAATACAAACGAACTAAATGCATTTGTTTAGTGAGTGTTTTATAATACATAGCCATCAGGAAAATTACGCATAACATTATAATAATTGTTGGGAACGATGAATCGCTACCGGCATAAAATGGACTGCCTTAATCATCTGAAACAAACAGGAGAGGCTATTTTATGGATTTATTGATAGACGAGGTGAATAATCTGCCCAAGTTGTACGTACCTTCGTTTTTCAAAGAACTATTTTTTTTTCTTTTCAATGCTCAGTGAGTGATAATTTTATATTTATTTTTTTGTTTTCAAGAAACGGCCTTTTAAGACCGACTGAATATCATTATTTTACCTTTCTCATTTTCGCTTTTCTCTTCTCTCAGTATTAGTCTGTGTGGCAAACCCCCCTATCGTGCACCCCCCCCCTCCCACCACGTCCCTATAAATTGCATATCGTTGTGTTCCTTGTAACTATTTATTAAAAAAAAGCCAATGTTCCCAAAAAAAAAGTGAACGAACTTTTCCAAAATAGCGTCCAAACATGGCGGATTGACGACTTTGACTTTAGTTAGTTTTTTGGTTACTGAGAATCAGCATTTGGCTTAATTTCGTCATAGTTGGTCTTTTATTAAAGCTGGATAGTCATAGAATAATAAAACATGAAAAAATATTAAAAACTAATTGGCTTAGGGAATAAAAAACACCATTAAAGTCAATTTTTTAACAAAATAATTTTCAAGTTGAAAAGCAAGCGTCTTTTGTAATTAAACGGGCAACAATAACGCAAAACGTGCTGAAGTAAAACATATGGAAAATATATTCTTCTTTCTAAAACACTGATAACTTTTTCAAATATTTGAAACGATTCCACAGAAAACGCACTTAAGCGGCAAAAAATCGGTACCGGCGTACCGGTACCATACCATTCAATACTCATAAATGGCTTAGTTATAGTGCTATAATAACATTTTTGGTACATTATATTGATTGTATTAACGAACAAATATTAATACAATAACTTAATTGTCAAAAAAATTTAAATTATTTTTTTTTAATTTATTATTATAATTTTTTTAAATTTAACTTCCTTTATTCTATACGGAGGTCGTTTAAGAAGGCCTCTATTATAAAAATTATATAATTATAATAATAAAACTAAATTCAAAAATACTTTGCTTTATATATTTACTGATTCTTAGAGGTAATTTAAATTGTATATACTTCCCCGGAAATGAGTCATATCAATACCTGTTTTATGAACTAAAATAATATATACCTAATCTGAACTACATATAATGAATAGTTAAAGGGTTGTTTAGTAAAATTCATATATCACGATTGAAAAAATTATTTTTATTTCCTTTATTTACTGAAAAATGTGCCGAAGTTGGGCAAAAATTGCCCAAAAAAACAAAGTTCCGGGCAAAATTTTTGCCAGCAAACTTCAAATTCGTGTCCAGCGACCCAAAAAACATAAAGGGTGAGAAAAGCGGAAACTTGTTTCTGGGCCCCCATTTTTTTGCTAATATGCCTAGCTTATTGGGCTGGAGCGGCATTTGAGAAGGAGCATTCGTTGGCTACCCTTCTTGTGAACAGCCCTCATGAAGGCCGCAAACTTAGGCCTTATAAGTTCCAGCATTTCCTTTTACTTTTATTCATATTTTATAACGTAATAAAATAAATAAACTTAAAAACTAGATCTGATAAATTTAAGAAAATATTTCATCCTAAGCAAATTTATTAGATACACAGCACTTTTATTCTCTGGCGATATTTTAAAAACATTTGAAAAGAGTTTTTCACAAGCCAACAAAGCAATTAAAGATGAAATAATAAATCATCTAAAGGATGTGATAGCTAGAAAAGAAACTTTATTGTTACTTCATCCGTTTGAATCACAGGCACTAGAATTGATTCAATCTCGAACTATGGAAGAAATATTTCTCTATGTATATCAGTATGGAAACTACACTGATCTTCGGTGTTTCATTGATGAAGAACTAGCATCAGGTCCCCATTTTTTTTTTAAATTCATGTGGAAAGGAATTCCTTTCAACAAACTGTTTTTAGGATTTTTGAAGTTAAAACCGGCTGATCTATCGAGTTTCACATGTGATCTAGTACTAAATAAAGAACCAACCTGTCGCATTCCAACAAGTTATTTTTCCGAATTACATATGCATGGAATTCCATCTTATAAACAACCCGAATTTTTCAAGGAACATTGGCCTATTCGTCGTGGTTACAGATTTGATAGCTCATTAATAGAAGGTAAGGTTCTGTCATTCAAGTCTTCACTTGCTCCACCAAACCGGGAGTTAAGTTGGGAAGAGGAAATATTATTAACATGTAGTACTCCAAAGAATTTAAAATTAAAATTGATCGAAGATTGGGATGAATATCTCGAGTTTGAACAAATAAACTCGACTCAAGAACCAAATGAAACTTCAATTCAGCATATACCACATGAAGGAATGGGGTTATGGGAAAATTGTGTTTCAGAAACAACAAAAAACACAGAAAAATTAGAATCATTAGAGGAAACAATTGATATCACTAAACAAATTTCTGTAAATAGAAGTAGTACAAGTACGGATCTTTTTTGTTACACTAGCGTCCCGTTAGATGCCAAATCAAAACTAAGACAGTCATCGACACTTTCAAATGCTTCAAATGGAATGCTAGATGAAATAGAAATATGGCGTGATATTGAAGATTTAGTAATAGCTTTGGAAGGATTGGCAGATCTAGAAGACAGTGATTTCCTTATAGATGAAATTTACTCTGGAGATATTTTTGAAGAAGAAGAAGAAGAAGAACAAGAACAAGAAGAACAAGAACAAGAACAAGAACAAGAAGGAGAAGAAGAAGAAGAAGAAGAAGATTTACAAGCCGAACAACGAGAGATCTTGCTAGATTGGACGGAAGATAATTTAATGATTGTTGAGGAAATACGATCGGAACTTTCATCGTGGAATCCATATTGGAAACTCAGACCTTTCTGCGTGAAATCCAGCGAAAAAAATAGTACAACATACGAAGAAGATGAAAATTCCGAAGAGTTTTCCGATAACATAGAATTTATTGAGCCAGCTCTTCCTGAAATCCAACCGAAACATTTTCTCAAGCAAAGAGGATGGAGTAATGAATGTAAAGAGCCACCTTATTGGTTACGAACGATATGGAAAAAAATTATGTGGATCAACTGGCGAGGAAAAAACAGATTATGGATAATCGATACGTTAAACAAAATAGAATATTTAATTCTAAGAAAAAACATTATGGAAGACATATCTCTCGAAATTAAGAAATACAACCTATATGAAGTGAGTGATGATTCTGACCAAGATCTCGAAACCAGCTCAAATTCTTCATTGATTTCAGAAAATAATTCTTCGTCAGAGAACTTAGAAATCCCATCAACATTTGAATCCCTAGAACTTCTGGAACCATCGACGCCGTCAACGGAATATGGTTCATCCTTCAGCTCCGTATCATTAACTGATTGTAAATATATTGAATCAGCATTTCGGGCCCAATCCCCCTGGGAATTTCATTCTACTGAACCATTATCACTCCATCTTGAGAAATCAGTTACATTTTTCGAAATGTGTGCCAGAGTATTAAGGCAAAAAGAAGAAATATTACAACATGCCATAGAAATGGAAGCGTTATCTGTAGCTCCGCCTAAACTATATTTAAGTCGACAAATTCAAAGATCTGTTAGGTTATTCCTAAATTTAGAAATGAATATTTCAAACCGCCTTTCTGAAGAGCCCTCATCTTCCTTTATATCTTTAGTCTCACACAAATCTACACGTAGTAGATTAACAGGTGGACTTTTCCGAGGTTCTACAAAGAGGTCCTATATTTCCAAAAACTATAAAGACTTAGGTGATTGGCTTCATAATTTGGAAGCGCAAATTCATCAGTCAAACGTACAAACTCACACCCGTTTGCTAGCATATTTAAGAAACCTTGATAATTTTAAAAGACTGATACTTAACAAATTTCTAAGTGAAGTATCTTCCTTAGGAGATATCACTGATAGTTTTCGATGGAAGCTCTCAATAAAGCGTCCGATACGATGTCAGAGGGTGTTGATCAATCTTTGTTGTCGCCTAGGACCGATTAGAAACACGACATTTTTATGTGACTTATTAGTACAATCAGAATCTCTCAGGATACTGATAATGTCAAAACTTACCGCACGCAAAATGCGTCATCAAATCTCAGTTAGAACAACGAGTTCAGCATTAGCATATAATGACAGTTCTGATTCAGAAATATATAGTGTAGTTGAAGAAATATTGTTCCACGAGGATGATATAATAAAAAAATGGCCAAGAAAGAAAGAGTGGCCATCAAAAGAGGATAATGAAGAAAATCTGCAAAGGCATTGGCTTGATAAGAAGCTATTTGAAACCTGGAAAATCGGTTATTCACCTCAAAATATGGCTAAAAGACTATTAGTGCTGTGGGGTTTAAGGAATCTAAGACAAAAGAAGATAACGGCAAGACACCACAGAGCAGACAAACATAACTTATTGCAGTAATATATTTCTTCGAAAGTCACAAAATTAAAATAAATGTATTTAAAATATTGTTCCTTGCAGATTTTCTCTTGAATTTAAATTAAATTAAAACTATAATTGGGTTTTATGAAATAACAAAATAGTTTTATTTAAAAAAAAAAAAAGTATATGCAGTTTTAAATAAAAGGATGGAAATTTACTTTCTTTTACGCTCTACAAAAGGTGTCTTTTTTTCGTAATTAGATAATTTCACAATGTTGAAATACTTAAAACTGTGCTGTAATTGTCAATTAAGTTTTCATAAATTCAATGTGATTTTATTTTAATATTTTTCCGCGTTGTGGAGGAGTGGTTTCTTCCCTTGATTCTCCCTGGATACGCCGATTTATTAAAAAATATTAACATAAGAATTTACAAATGAAGTTGTCCTATTAGCAGCTTTAAGCGAATCTACAATTCTTTACAAATAAATAGTAAAATAACACAACAAAGTAGGTGTAGAAAACTGGGTTGTTATGGCCAAATGTGTCTTAATTGCCAAATGGAAGCTAATGTTTTTGATAGATAAAAACAAATACATCCTCAGATCATTGAGACTGAGGGATAAAGAGAAAGCGGGATCTTCATTAGGAATATGATGGAACTATTCGAGAGAATTAAGTGCATGATAAATATTTTAATGAATGAATACGTATCATGTCAATAGGTAAGAAAAAGGTTTTAGGTTTATTTTTAGAATTTATACTTAGTTTATTGATCATTTGTGTTTTACCAGTTATTCAGGTAATATACACAGATATTACTTTTAAACATCACTCTCTGTTTAATTATATTTTGAGAATTTTAGCATCAATTTTTCGTTTTAATACCGTGTTAAGGAGGTAAGATTTATAATATCTGAATTTATATAAGCGTTTATACCTATATTGTAAAAGTTTTTAGTCAGTATAAGATGCCATTGATAAAAAGCTACAAAATACAACAACTAGAAACCCTTGCTAATTTAATGAGAAAATAAAGGAAATTTCATCAAAATATATGAAATAGCATAGAATTAACTATCATTCAGAATTGAATATTATTTAGATAATTCTTTATCTAGATATACTTTTAGTTGAATAGGTAGTCGTTGTCAGATTAGTTTCGAATAAAGTGCAATTAATTTAAATATTAGCTAAGGCTTAGAGATTAATTTATGTACCATTAAAACAGTTGTGGTAGACAGCTAATTGTTTTATTCATGAAAAATAAATTGGCATTGGAAATCGATAACTAATAAATTTTATCTGTAGTTCCCGATTCACGATTAACAATTAGTATATTGCTTACTTCGTAAAAAAATGTTATTGTTCAATTGCTCCGTCATTATTAAGATGAATAATTTATTCTCCCCAAATTTCATTTATAATAGGGGCCGTTTTAAAGTTATTATAGGTGCAGTTTTCAAAAATACTGTTGATTTTAAGACTGCGTAATCGCGTATCGATTCATTTCAACTTTAAGTATATCTTCGATTTAAGAGTCCTTTATTCAATTTCTGAAGGCTTAGTTTTCAAAAATATTATCGATTTTGAGATTGCTCAAGTGTACATCATTTTATTTTAACTTTACAGATTCAATCGACATGAAAGTACCTTGTTAGGTTAACGAAGGATATGATGGCCGGCAGGTAACAGAACTTACTATGTGGAGCAGGGTTGCCCGGAATGGGGTTTCATGGCGCAAGTTGCGCCAACAAAACTTTTGAGGGGAGCACATTTTGACGGGGTTTTGTATTATTGGGGAGAGCACACTTCAACGGAGTTATGAACTTTTTAAATGAAAAGTTTCAAACCAGGTAACAAGGAGAAAACAGGTAACAAACCGCTGTAACTTTAATTGTATATGATCTAAGATTTTCTAAATGCTACTTTAGTTTGCACTGTTGTTAAGAAGAAGAAAGTAATTAAGGTAGAGAGTGGGGTACCTCTGATTTGGAGATGTATTTCAACACACACAGTTCCAAAAACTTTTATTGATTTCTTCATTCACACAGTTTTGTGGTATTGTGCAGTTGATATTAGTAAGCGACTCTTACACGACCATTCGTGAATGAACCACTAGAGGATCCAGCCGGGGGGCGTGCGCCCCCCATCTCCCTGGAGGGTGGAAAACTTTTTTTTTTTTTAATTTCCAAAAACAGCTATTCAAAGAAAAGAGAAATAGAGGGAAAATTCATCCTCATAGACGATTTTTCTAATGTAATATAAATAAAAAATTACTATTGTGACCATCACTAGCGAATTCTGCCAGGGGCGCGAACACCCTTGGATGGTGAAAAAAAAATTCAAATAAACCCTATTTAAAGATATGAGAAATATAGGAAACATCCATCCTCATAGACGAATTTTCTAATGTAATATAAATAAAAAATTACTGTGGTGACCAGCACTAGCGAATTCTGCCAGGGGGCGCTCCCTCCTTCGGATGGTGAAAAAAAAAACTTAAATAAAACCTATTTATAGAAAAGAGAAATATGGGAAACATTCATCCTTATAGACGAATTTTCTAATGTAATATAAATAAAAAATTACTATCGTGACCAGCACTAGCGAATTCTGCAAGGGGGCGCGCCCTCCCTCGGATGGTGAAAAAAAAAATTCAAATAAAACCTATTTATAGAAAAGAGAAATATAGGAAACATTCATCCTCATAGACGATTTTTCCAATGTAATATAAATAAAAAATTACTGTGGTGACCAGCACTAGCGAATTCTGCCAGAGGGCGCTCCCTCCCTCGGATGGTGAAAAAAAATTCAAATAAAACCTATTTATAGAAAAGAGAAATATAGGAAACATTCATCCTCATAGAAGATTTTTATAATGTAATATAAATAAAAAATTACTATGGTGACCAGCACTAGCGAATTCTGCCAGGGGGTGCGCCCTCCCTCGGATGGTAAAAAAAAAATTCAATAAAACGTATTTAAAAAAAAGAGAAATATAGGAAATATTCATCCTCATAGACGATTTGTCTATTGTAATATAAATAAAAAATTACTATCGTGACCAGCACTAGCGAATTCTGCTAGGGGGCGCGCCCTCCCTCGGATGGTGAAAAAAAATTCAAATAAAACCTATCTATAGAAAAGAGAAATATAGGAAACATTCATCCTCATAGACGATTTTTCTAATGTAATATAAATAAAAAATTACTGTGGTGGCCAGCACTAGCGAATTCTGCTAGGGGGCGCGCCCTCCCTTGGATGGTGAAAAAAAATTCAAATAAACCCTATTTATAGAAAAGGGAAATATAGGAAACATTCATCCTCATAGACGATTTTTCCAATGTAATATAAATAAAAAATTACTGTGGTGACCAGCACTAGCGAATTCTGCCAGAGGGCGCTCCCTCCCTCGGATGGTGAAAAAAAATTCAAATAAAACCTATTTATAGAAAAGAGAAATATAGGAAACATTCATCCTCATAGAAGATTTTTATAATGTAATATAAATAAAAAATTACTATGGTGACCAGCACTAGCGAATTCTGCCAGGGGGTGCGCCCTCCCTCGGATGGTAAAAAAAAAATTCAATAAAACGTAATTAAAGAAAAGAGAAATATAGGAAATATTCATCCTCATAGACGATTTGTCTATTGTAATATAAATAAAAAATTACTATCGTGACCAGCACTAGCGAATTCTGCTAGGGGGCGCGCCCTCCCTCGGATGGTGAAAAAAAATTCAAATAAAACCTATCTATAGAAAAGAGAAATATAGGAAACATTCATCCTCATAGACGATTCTTCTAATGTAATATAAATAAAAAATTACTATTGTGACCAGCACTAGCAAATTCTGCCAGGGGGCGCACCCTACTTTGGATGGAGAAAAAAAAATTCATATAAAACCTATTTATAGAAAAGAGAAATATAGGAAACATCCATCCTCATAGACGATTTTTCTAATGTAATATAAATAAAAAATTACTATGGTGACCAGCACTAGCGAATTCTGCCAGGGGGTGCGCCCTCCCTCGGATGGTGAAAAAAAATTCAAATAAAACGTATTTAAAGAAAAGAGAAATATAGGAAACATTCATCCTCATAGACGATTTTTCTATTGTAATATAAATAAAAAATTACTGTGGTGGCCAGCACTAGCGAATTCTGCTAGGGGGCGCGCCCTCCCTTGGATGGTGAAAAAAAATTCAAATAAACCCTATTTATAGAAAAGGGAAATATAGGAAACATTCATCCTCATAGACGATTTTTCCAATGTAATATAAATAAAAAATTACTGTGGTGACCAGCACTAGCGAATTCTGCCAGGGGGCGCTCCCTCCTTCGGATGGTGAAAAAAAAAACTTAAATAAAACCTATTTATAGAAAAGAGAAATATAGGAAACATTCATCCTCATAGAAGATTTTTATAATGTAATATAAATAAAAAATTACTATGGTGACCAGCACTAGCGAATTCTGCCAGGGGGTGCGCCCTCCCTCGGATGGTAAAAAAAAAATTCAATAAAACCTATTTATAGAAAAGAGAAATATAGGAAATATTCATCCTCATAGACGATTTGTCTATTGTAATATAAATAATTAATTACTATCGTGACCAGCACTAGCGAATTCTGCTAGGGGGCGCGCCCTCCCTCGGATGGTGAAAAAAAATTCAAATAAAACCTATTTATAGAAAAGACAAATATAGGAAACATCGATCCTCATAGACGAATTTTCTAATGTAATATAAATAAAAAATTACTATCGTGACCAGCACTAGCAAATTCTACAAGGGGGCGCGCCCTCCTTTGGATGTTGAAAATTATTTCTAATAAAACCTATTTAAAGAAAAGAGAAATATAGGAAACATTCATCCTCATAGACGATTTTTCTAATGTAATATAAATAAAAAATTACTGTGGTGGCCAGCACTAGCGAATTCTGCTAGGGGGCGCGCCCTCCCTTGGATGGTGAAAAAAAATTCAAATAAACCCTATTTATAGAAAAGGGAAATATAGGAAACATTCATCCTCATAGACGATTTTTCCAATGTAATATAAATAAAAAATTACTGTGGTGACCAGCACTAGCGAATTCTGCCAGAGGGCGCTCCCTCCCTCGGATGGTGAAAAAAAATTCAAATAAAACCTATTTATAGAAAAGAGAAATATAGGAAACATTCATCCTCATAGAAGATTTTTATAATGTAATATAAATAAAAAATTACTATGGTGACCAGCACTAGCGAATTCTGCCAGGGAGTGCGCCCTCCCTCGGATGGTAAAAAAAAAATTCAATAAAACC